AAAATCCAGAATGCAAGGGTCTAAGAATAACTCATACATGATTTCCAAGGCCATGGGACTGTGTGTTAGATTGTGATCTAAGATCTGACCTACTTTTTTTTTTGCTGTGAGCTCTGATGGCTTTGCTTTGGATTTGCGTACCTCTTTGGTGGCCATAGTCAGAGCTGTCAGTTTCGAGTTCTCGTCCTCCTCAATGCTGTCTGTGAATTCACTACTGCCATCCTCATCATCATCATCCTCATCCTCCTCCGCGCTGACCTCTGAGGACACAACACAGAAACATAAATACAAAATACACCAGAAATATTCTCTCTCTCTCTCAAAGTAATACCATTTCACATTAAAATGAATAAAGAGTGCACATAAACATTATGTATTGTAGTTAGTGAAGAATTTAGGTTACTTTTTTAGTACACACCCATCCAATGTGGAATTGTCAACTGTATATTTACATCCTGGCTCACACTGGGAAAATGACTAAGATCAAACAGGTTCCTCTGATCTGCTCATCTATTGAGTTATTCATAATTTAAAATGCTACAAGTTCTACAAAGATGTACATGGGGTTAATTTCTAGTCAGTTCACCCACTGGCCTAACCCCTGAAGGCACCAAGGAAATCACATGAATCACTATTCTGTTGGGTACCAAGAGGGTCCTGGCCAAACTCAGCCCAACCCTAATCCCTGACAGTGCTGAACCAACTGCCTGGTCTCTAATTGGGGAATCCCAGTCAGAGCATCGGACATCACCCAGCCTCAAACCTGTGATGTCTAGATCATAGAGCTCAATCTGCACAGCAGTTTTAAAAAACTTTTAGAATAACACAAAGTCCAAAACAGAAAAATGCCGTTTCCTCATATATCACCGCTGCAGACCTGAAGAGCAGTTTGTTTTACATGGAAACATTCTATTCTGTTTCTATGGAAAGCAAACACAATTTCTCCTACACACGTACACAGCAATACAGAAAAAAATAACTTGTAATATGCAGTGTTTTGAAAACACAAAATTAAAATATGATGTTCTATAAATTAACTCCCTATTCTAGGAAAACACTCACTGCAAGTATTCCCAAACACTTCTCCTAGAAAGCATGGGAGAGCTACCTTCGAATTAATTTGTAGAAATATTTCTTCTTCAGGGCTAAATTAAGCAGAACCCTTAAAAACCCTTAGTAGTAAAACATAGATTGCATGAATTATTTCAAAGCCTTCATGGGCATTCCTTCATGTAAAAGTAAATGCAGGCTGAAATCAGCAAATATGCTAGCAAAAAAGCTTGGATGAATTTTAATTGTGAATGATTTGTCAGTTTTAAAGTTTTCAGCTGCTTTAAAAACAAAGTAAAACACGACAGGTCTGATAGATTTAAAGTGTAAGTTATCTGCTATCTTATTTCCTAGTTGTGTTTTAAAAAGGGAATTACCCCCATAAGCTTCCCATTATTAAGGGTCTTATGACACAGCACATGGGTAACACATGAACTAAAGGCGGAAATGCTTTTTCTCTTGTGAAACAAGTTACTTGGTCTGCGATAATGAAGGTATTATGGCTGACTGCCTCTAAATCAGAATCCCCCCTAAAAGCTGTTTTTTCTTTCCATGCTGCTGAACATTGTGCCTTTAGTCCTCCGTAATCAGTCCCAAGCCTAGACTCCGTCACAAAGAAAAATATCCCGACAGAACACTGGGGTGCTTTATTGAGGAATGTCAGATTCTTGTTTTTCAGAGCAAGTTTTCTGTACATCTTCCTGACCAGGAACTGGTGAGCAACAAAAAACAGTGAGGGAGATTGCGGATGACTCTTAAGATAAGAAAAGAGAAGCTGTCAGATATGCAGTGCTTTTCTGTGCACAGCTCCGCTATCTCAACTGGGAGGGTGGGAAAAAATCCAGTCATGAAATCAGAAATGGCCGCAAGGCCAGTGCTGGGTACATCAGCTTTTTAGAGACAGACACACTAGCAGGTGTGAGCAGACCACTTAAAAGCTACCCCTTGCTCCACCAACGGGTATTCGGCAAAATTAGAGGCAAATCTGAAAAATAAAGGTCCACCTCTCATTGGTTTTAGGGACATCAAACTGGAACAAGATTATTTTGCCCCAGCAGGACAGGAGCAAGCACTGGCAATAGTTGGGCTGGGTTACTGGATCAGCACTTCAAATGACACTGGGGGATGGTGTACGATATGCTAAACATTTAACTGCTTCCATTCATTGATATAATTAATATGAAAGATTTGGGGCATTGCCTTTCTCTTAGTCACAAGCCCACTACATACTTAAGTGTAAAGGATGTAAATATTTTTCCTTATTTTAACCAATTGGCATACATGCAGTGCTATCTTCATCACGTGTTTAAACACACTCGGGTTTAGCAATATCTTTTGTGGTTTCAGCTATGGTTAACTCCATTTGATTGGCTCTTCAGTATTCCAGCAGCAGATTTCATGGGGAACAGGAGAAACTACCAGCAATGATAATAGCAAACCCAATAAAGTGTTAGACAAATTCAAATGCAGCTTATTTATTGACATATTTTAACAAGGCATATCTGATATACGTAATAAAAAATATAATACTGCACAAAGCCATGGCTTAACAATGTTTTCAAAAATAGTGCTGCAGTGCCAAACCATATTAGTGGTGTGTTATTTTATGAGTGTTTGTGTGCCAGACCGATATTACAAAATAAACACATGGTTCATTTAGGTAACTGAGACATAATAAATGTCTAGTATCACAGACAACACATTTGTTCACTGAACACAAATAAAAGTGACTGCAAAATCGAACAGGACAACTTTTAAAGTATTCTGCTCCAGTAAAACATTTGCTCCACTTTTCCTCTCTCCAAATGAAGCCCATCTACCAAACACTAACTTTAAGTGAATCTTTTTTTCTATAAAGTTAGCTTCCTATTTCCTGCACCAATAATATCTCTTTGTCATTACTTTCAGCCAATTAGGAGCAAAAAACTTTGACAATCTCTCTGCGTGACATAAACATAAGACAGATAAAGACTGAGGTGATATCAAGTGACCCTTCATGGGATTCATCTTGGAGGACAGATGCAGCATAAAGAAAACAACAGGTGTCACATACCTTTCCATTTAAAGACCTTCAGCCGATGATGAAACATTATCTGATGTGTCAGAACCGCAGCCCTTATAGTACTTACACTGATCCAGCAATAAGGCATTGGTGTGAAGATTCAATGAAGGCTTTTTACGTTTCCCAGACACTTTATTTTTTTATTAATATGTCAATTCTCAACAGACTGCAGGAATTTATAGAAAGTTAGAATTCAAATAGAATGTATTTTAAAAATATGGGGTGTTGGGTTATTTTATGAAACCACCAAAACTTGGCCAGAAGTCCCAGACAAGAGCTACAGGATGCTTTTGGCTTGATTTAATGCGAACCGTAATTGAAAGATTTCTTTAATGTAAAATATTAACTCTCATGGGATATAAAACTCATCTTCCTCCCCCCAGGATGCATCTTCATTTAAATTGGACATAACGTAAAAACAGCTACAAGAAAAACAGTGGTTACATAAAAGTACTCAAAGAATGGAGCAAAAAAGCCATGCAAAGTTGGAAATTCATGCACAGAAAAATGCAAATTCCCATGTTATTTATGTGATAGTGTAGCATGCAAAGATAACGTGACAAGTTTTTAAATACTCTCACAGAGGGATCAAAATAGAAGGAAAACATCAGGAGAGATTAGACTACAAAGGAAAAAAATGCTGTCCTCTTAGAAATGTAACTTATTCATAGTGAATATAGTTTTGAAATAAAAGGTCATTACGGAAAATTAACATAGGATAGGATACTGTATATGCATTAGCAACGATGTCTTATTTCAGAATTATTCTTTTATTTTTTTTCATTTATCAATTATTTCTGTACTTTTAACTTCTAATAAGAATTAAATACATTTCTAAGTCAGCATTTAGAAAAAGGCTAAAGAGAATATGTGCTTATGAACTCATATGAAATTACTGGAACCAATTACAAATTGTTCTTAACCTTTCAGTTTAAACAAGGACTATTTACATGGTACTGATACCTTTCATAATTTAAAAATTCCCCTTTTGTAACCTCTTCCCTGGACTGACTCATTATGCTATCCTCAGGGTTAGAGATTCTGCACCAACATGCAGGCCATGTGGACAATGAAAATGACCAGATGGTTGAAAAACAGACTTAATGTTACATGAGCTTCTGTCTGAAGAGGAGACATGATATCTACCAGGCGAATGGATTCTTTGGATGCTTGAGCTGTGAAATAAGTTATAACTTTGGAAGATGATTTCTTATTGTTGCAATGTTTTGCTATAGAGTGCATGCAGAAACAGCATGTGTTTTGCTAATGAAATGAGCAGACGACAGCCAAATTGGAGAAGCAACGCCTTTCTCTTTAGCAACTATACAGAATCTGAGATGGGTATTGACATAAAAAGAGCATTTACTACATGCTAGGGATGCATGGGTCATAGACGGAATACATATATCACATTTAGACATTGGTCCTTTTGTTGTCTAATTCCATGCACATACAACACCGATACCAAAAACAGCTGTAGTCAGAAGTGGTAGCACAAATTTATTTTTTGCGATTTAGCTTACACAAAGGTTTGCATGGATATTTCAGTGTCAAAACTACATTTACAAAAAAATTAACACATGGCTTTCTTGGCTGGACTAGTCTTATGAATGGTGGAATTGGACTGTGAGATCAATCGGTTCACTCCACAAGCTCTTTGTCGAAGGCTGTGAGTTTCTGTCTTTTTAACAGTATGCACTGTAACAAAACATATCTAGACCGTGTATCATTTTCTGGTAGAAAACCATTTTGGGTTGGACAGCTGTTGCTGCTGCTGAGACCTGTAGCAGGACATGACATGACTAAACTTGGCAAATTATGTGAATTACAAACAACCATATGCTTCAGGGTCATCAGCCACATTATGTAGCTCTCAACTTACAGTCTCAACTGGCTTGTTTTGTATGCAGAGCAAGCAGGCAAAACTAAAATGCTACAAAACATAACAAGCTTTTGATTAAACTTGGATCCTAACAGCATAAAAAATGTGACTCGGATTTAGAGAGATTTTAAGATATGCTCTTTAAATGAAATTCAGAAATCAATGTTTTAAAAAATGTAAAAACTGTAGGTAAAAAACATTTTATGGTAATTGTACTTAATTTATATCTTTACCTCAAGATTTTTAGTGCAAGCTTAACCTTGCAATGTAAAAGGATTCTTTCTATGTCCTCTATATCATTATGAACATGAAATGTGCACATGAAGAAGTGTAACATTTTTATTCATCTAAATTATGATATGAAAGGATATCTCTATAAATTAAAATATCTTTAGCCCGCACGTATAAGGATGAATGGGAAAAACCAAAAGGTGAATGACTGTATCAGTGTCAAAATACATGCCATACGTGTTGAGGCGTTTCGTGAAAATAACAAATACGGAGCACAAAACAAACACAAGGTATAAATAGTAATTGCACTGAACTCCTTTTGCAGGCAATTTGCACAAAAATGTAAACAAATAAAAACAGAAATTGCACATTGTCATGTCGGTTAGTTGAACCACCAAATACCCCAAGAGGCCAGAGCAGGTGCTTACTGTTAGTATGGATGTTTTTCTGCCCTATATTACATTGTTCATGGTTGCCCCACTATGCAGAGTGAACACCTGGCCCCTCTGCAGCCTGGGCGCCATGTTCTTGCAGAAGCATCAAACTCTCCTGTTCCCCACCTCCAAAATCAGGCTGAGTCATAGCTGCCCTTTCCAGCCTCAAAGCTCCATCTCGGGTCCTTGCCAGGGCCTCCTCCAGCTGTCCACGGAGTGCCTGAATTGTGTCCAGCTCCCCCTGGAGGGCTTGACTCTTCTCAGAGCTAAGAGGAGCAGAACAGTGACACACCTCAAAATAATCTGCAGATTCTAGTCATTAAATCTCTCTTCCTAAAGTGACATCAGTTCACTTACTAACCTCTTTTTTCCAGCTGGACAACATAGCATGGACACACTCCTAATTTATTACCTACATATTAATGATGAAAGAAAAGCAGATGCTACTTGACACAACAGAACAAAAATCCTAAAATCAAATGCATAAATAAAATATTGTGACTTTGGCTCCACATAATCCAACAATTTAAGACAGACAACTGCAGGACTGCTTTCTAAATTTAGTTGCTCTAGCTATGTGAAGTAAAATGTGTCTTAATATTAAAGGTAGCTTACCTGTCACCATGGGTGTGCAGCTGGGCCAGACTGTGGTATAGCTCCTTCTCTGCTTTCAGAGCTTCATTCAGTTTCTTGTACTCCAAAACAAGCTGACCCAGAACATCCTGTAGAGACAATCTGAGCATTAACTATGCTCAGCAAACAAAGTCAGGCTTGTTTATGTATAGGGAATGGTGTGAGGAAGACCTGCTATTGCTTATTTGGATTTGAAATTTTCTCTGAAATAAATAATTTTAGTAAAATAAGCCCGGGTTAGCCTTGAGGCCAATATTTCGAGTACCTGGTGGTCAATGCTAACTTTGTCCTGTGCTTCCAGCAGATTAATGGGCCCTCTTACTTCCTGTAGCTCCTGGGTGCGTTGTTCTGCCACAGGCAGGCCTGAGGGCTCCACCAGCCGACTATGCAGGTCCTGCCCACAGACAACACAGACATCCAGCTCAGGTTTCGGTTGAACAGACTGGGTCTGTCACAAACACAGCAGGCCACCAGGTTTCACTGGCAAAGTCAGTAACACCACTACAAATACACCACTGAGAACACAGACAAAACTGGTTTCACAGAAATCTAACCAAAACCTCTTGTAAACATCACAGACCTATTCTGTTGTGTGTTTATGACTACAGACTGCAAAACCTAAATAAAGTTTTCAAATAAGTTGTCAAATGCAGGCATCTTTTCTAGAACATAAGAGCTATTTTAAATTAGAGAAGGCCCTTTGCCCCACCTAGCCTTTGGTAGTTAGAAGCTAACTGATCCAAGGATCTCCTCCAGTCATTTCTTGAAAGAAGCCACTTCATCAGCTTCAACAACATGGCTGTGTAGCTTGTTCCATACTCCCACAACCCTTTGGGTTAATAAGTGCCTCCTGTTCTTGGTTTTAAATGCATAGTTACTGGTATACCCATACTGAACTATAAACTTTCAAATTCATTCACGGGACAGTTAGACAAACCTTGATGAGCCCGTCCTTGATCTGCAAGCTCCTGGTAAGGGATTCAATATTAGCGGCTTGAATCTGAATTTCTTCCCTCTGCTTGGTCAGGACAGACTGCAAAGAAGACAGTTCTTGCTGCAGACAGAAATTGCAGGCATCTTAGAAAGCTTATGCTGCACCACAATGAGGACCTCTGGAACATGGCCCTACACAGTCTATTACTGTCATCAACACAGTACTGTGTGAAAGGTTAAAGATTAAGGAAACTAAACCTTCTTAAAGATGATGGAGTTCTAAAAATCAGTGAGAGTGTATACAGTATATTTGTTTTTTACCTTTCTTTATTTAAAGTTCTTGGCCTAATGGTAATCCAAAAGGAAACTGACCTACTAAAATAAAGGAGAACTTTGTACGTTTGCGGTACTTAGCAAAATAATATAGGCCCTGTATTTATACAAAGCAAAAGAGATGCAAGTCCCTGACTAATTTAGAACCTAATGAGATTTAAGTGTTAAAAAGACGAGATTTTTTTTTATTATTATTTCTTTTGCCTGGAGATCAGACGGCGGGGTCAACGTAGAGTCTCGTACCTGGGCCTCCTGCTCCTTCCTCAGGACCAGCTGGAGGTCATCCTGCATGGCCTGCATGTCCATCTGGAGCCCGCTGGCATCTTCACCCCGCCCTGCCAACACCGGAGACAAGGCAGGTCACTGTACAGGACAGCAACAGGCTGCTCTCTTTCACCCTCTTTCACCCTGCTGTCACCCCAAGCCTTTCTCGCTGGGCAGGAAAGGAGGGACGACATAGGAAAAGTGAGAACACTTTTCAATCAGGAAAGTGACTTACCCTCTTCTCCGCAGTCAGGTACTGTTTCTCCAGGCTTGGATGTAATCATGGGCTCGTCGTGGCCGTGTGGACCACACTGCATTAGCTCCTATGTTAAGGACAGGAGAGTGCTGAAGTGAAACGAGTCACCTATCACTGAAGCCACAACACTCTGAACTGCAACATAGAATCCAGGCACACTGTATTACCAGGGGTTTGTGCACACATGGGGTAACTATATGAAAACTAGCAAGAGGGCTGCCCTGTAATTATAGGCAGGAACTACCTCTCGTGGGCAAAACAGTCTTTTCAGTCTCCACTGAGAGGCTCTGGTCTCTACAGGAAGCTACATCACTCTGGCTCCAGGCTCTGGCCTGCACTGGCCTCTTACCTCAATGAAAGCGTCCTTCTCCTGCAGCAGGCTCTTGAGGCGGCCGATCTCGTTGCGGGGCCCCCCGCCGTGCTGCTCTCTCTCCCGGGCCAGCTCGCTCACCTCCCTCTCCCTGGCGTGCAGCTGTCTGCGCAGCTCCTGCAGTTCCGCCGCCCGCTCGCCGATCACTCGGCTCAGCTGCCCCACCGTCTCCTGGGGAGAGAGAGCACGTCCACTTTAGCGTGCCCAGGACGGGGCAGGCACGGAGTACCGGGCTGCTGACGCACCGTTTACGTCTGCTAGACGGCGTCAGGAAGCAATTAAAAAGGTCAACAAAAATGATGTGGCTGAAATGGTACAGTTTAAATCCAGGGAGAACGTTCAAGTAAAGTTTAGAATTTCAATCAATTATAAAATGACATAAGGCACCAGTAAATGCTTGTTTAGAATACTGTGTACAATTTTGGCCACTGCATTACAGAAAAAATACTCTGGAATTAGTCCGGAGAAGAGCACCCAGATAAATTCCAGGGTTTAAAGGAATCTCTACAATGACAGGCTGGAGGAACAGAACCTTCTTAGACTTGAACAGAGATAATTACAAGTGCCTTTGATACCAGTTTTCAAAGGTGCTCATAACATCAACTTAGCGGCCTTCATCAGAATGAACAGTGAAACGCAAACCAGAAGGAGAAAGTGGAAACCAGACAGAAGTGCATCTACAACTGAAAACAGAAGCCACTTCTTTACCGAGGAGGTTGTGGGAATATTTCTCAAGCTGCCCATTCATGTTATTGAGGCTGATACGCTGGCTTACTCGAAGAAGGGAAGAATGAGATTCTTGGATTAACTACTTACTAGTAAACGGGCCCAGAAGGCCTTCTCTCATTTGTAACCTTTCTTATGTTTTTGAGATCCTTTTAGGCATCAGGTTTTCGGTCCGTAGATGCTCTGTAACTATAAACCAGCTCTGCGCCTGACGCTGGCAGGAACACGTTGTGACATGATTGTGCCACCAGCGGGAAGGGTTACCCTGTTCTGCTGATCCCTGGTGCTGACGGTGTCGAGCAGCTCCTGGACCTCCCTGTCGTGCTCGCTGGCCTGCCGGCCGCGGTCCGCAAGAGCTTCCTGGAGCAGGCGCTCCTTCAGCTGCAGCCGGAGTCTGAGCTCCTCTGCCAGCTGGCTGCCTCCCACCGACACTCTGTCGAGCAGCGCTGCTGTTAGCTCCTGCAGCACAACACCCAACACGGGCGACACCGGCCATCATCAGACAGCAGAAAACAACCCTTCGCAGAGAAGCACCCACTTCACAAAAGTGTGACGCTGTGATTCGAACCTTGGCTTTTCAACAAGGGCTTAATCTGCCATCAAATACTTCATAATGATGAAAAGATAAACGCAGGTATCTCGATCATTGTATTCCGAGTCCTTTTTGTTACCAAGATACCCTGTGCTAAGAGAACTGCCAAAGGAGTGCGCTTGGCCCTCAGTGCTCTCAAACAATTCCCCACAGCTGGGGTGAGATCTGTTCATATGGCAACACGGCAATTGTACGACAACTTGAATTTTTACCTAAAGAAATGGAAGTTGTCAGACAGGATGAACTGCATAAAGCTGCATAAAGCTGCTAACAGCCCCCGAGGAAGGTAAGACATTTACAATTCAAACTGACACAAGCAATCTAATGTTTCCCTCCAATTTACATTTTGGTCACTGAAAATGAGCCTTTATTAACTTTCATAGCTGATAACAACACAACTGGGGCGGAGTGGTGGCTCTGTGGCTCAGGATCTGCGCCTGTGGCTGGAAGGTTGCCAGTTCGTATCCCGCGGCCGGCAGAGGAATCCTACTACGCTGGGCCCCTGAGCAAGGCCCTTCACCCCAACTGCTCCATGGGCGCTGTATAAATGGCTGCGCTCTGACCCCCAGCTTCTCTCCCTGTGTGTCTCATTGAGAGCAAGTTGGGGTATGCGAAAAGACAAATTCCTAATACAACAAATTGTATATGGCCAATAAAGTGATCTTATTGCAGATCTTAACCGGACACTTCAAGGTTTGCTTCAGGGATACCACTCAGCATTTACAGGTTGTACCTCTGCTTCCTTGGTGCGGCTGTGCAAGGAGGTCTGCAGTTGGCTGATAATGGCATCCCTCTCCCTCAGGCTCTGGCTGTGTTTGTCTTCTGCCTCCTGTTTCAGCCACTGCAGGTTCTTGCCGGAGAGAGAGACCTGTTCCAGCTCCAAGGCCTTCACCCTCAGCATCCCATCCAGACTCTGCCAGAGAGACACACCTCTGCCTCAGGCACATGTCTGTGATCTATCATAAATGAACTTTTTAAAATCGCCCGTTTTTAACTTCTAAAGGCTAAGCATCTAATATTTCTCCACTAAGCTGCAGCAGTGGTATTTAGGAATTTTGTTGGATTACTTTAGAACCACCAGGGTGTTTAAAAACAAAGTGAGTTATAACATCTAGGTGAAAACATGTATTGCTGTAGAAAGACTGAAGTAAAAGACAAGTGAAATGCAGACACATAACTCATGCAGCTTGTGTATGAAAACAGAGTAAGCTGGGCACACGCTGCTGGCACGGTGAAGCAGCACCAGTCAGCCTTCTGCCTGGGCTGGCAGCTGGGCACCTACAGTGATCGTCTCTTCGTTGTTGGACAAGATGCAGCGCAGTCTCTCCAGGTCCCTCTCCTTCTCCCTCAGGGTCAGCTGGAGCCTCCGCACCTCGCTCTCCTTCTCCTCCAGACAGCGAAACTTCTCATCGATGGCGCGCTGGGGTCACGAGAGAAATGGAGAGAAACACCATTAAGCCTGGCAGCACGGCCCTGTGACCACCCCGTCAGAGTCACACGGATACCTTTCTATACAGCAAAGAGACGCACTCTGTATGAGTAAAGACAAAAAACAAACTTCCTTTCAGTATTTCAGGCGGACCTGAGGCAACAGTGTTTCAGTATTTGTGAGAATATGTGGGGACCTTTCTTTTTGCCTCCTCTAATTACAATCTCCATTTTGGTCAGCAGTCGCCTTACCTCCAAGGCCCTGTCCCGGTCCTTGATGCGCTCCCTCAGTTTGTCCAGCAGGGCGTCTCGACTCTCGCCTGAGTCCTGCTGATAGTCCAGGTGCTCCACGTATTCCTGAGAACAGCACCCAGACAAGAGTGTCCAATTTAGGATACAAGCAAAACATTCAAATCTCACTAACCTTGTGTGTCTCTCACCCTCATAAACCTTTACATACGAGAGCCAGAGACATCAAGGAAACACTGGCTTCTATGTCTATGTTTCAACTTCCTTTGTACTCATTGTAGAGTCCTCATTCCTCTATTTGTAACGAAATAAAATTAGGTAAACAATTTACTTAAGACAAAGTTACAAAAACATTGCTGTATCATAATCACTATATAACACAGCAAAACAACATGCAGAAAACCATATAGCAGAATTAATTTCAGAATAAAGCACCTTAAGTATTTGTTTATTTTCATTTTATTACAGGGTCTTTACTGAAAACCTCATTTGTTTTACACAATGACAAAGAAAAAGTGTCCTGTTCATTCATTTCTATGAGACAACTGGGTTGTGGAAATTGGATAAGAATCGCTTTTTCACACCCTTTTCTTTCCTGGTTGGGCTCATCTGTCGTGAAACACTTAGGTGGTTCTGAGTGTGCAATTTAAAAACGTAAAGGCAAAGGGGATTAAGTCAGGAGTTGCTATTCAGCAATGCTAATAAAAACAACTTTAAAAATAAATCCAGGGCCAAGCTTAACTGAGGCTGTGAGGCACCGCTCCTGGCGAGACGCCGATCCTCCCAGTGGAGGGGGGGACACAGCTGGCGCCCTCACCTGAATGAGCTGCTCTTTCTCCTGCAGAGAGACTTGCAGCTGTTGGATGGTTTTCTCCCGCGCCTCAATCTCCATCTGTTTCTCTGCCTCCTTCTCCTTCAGCAGCCTGTCCCTCGCCTGCAGCTCTGTCCGGGCTTGTTGGAGAGCACTGCGTAGCTCCTGCAGGAGCACGACACACCAGGTCACCAAGGGGACAGGTGTGCTCCCCATGATGTCCTTAGTCCTCATTTTACCAAAGCTTAAACTACTGTGATGCTCGCGGCACTGTGGGTAATGTTTTTTTTACCACAATAATACCTGGAGCACTTGACAAGCATGTTACACTACAATAATAGAACCATCCTCTGAAGAGAAAAGCAGCGAGTGGGCAAGAAAAAGAGAAGATTCCATTACAGCCAATAGGTTCAGAAACTGCTGTTCTATGTTTTTGCAAGGAGACACGTTGTCAAAGCAATTCCTGGTATTAAGTTCAAGAATATCTGTTGATTTTGTACGATAAGTAACATAAATATGCTAAGTACTTGAAGCAGGGCTGGAAGGAGTGATTATCTAGCTTATCTCTGGGTCTGTTCTCAGCAGGTCTTGCAGGAGTCCCACCTGGTTGTGTTGTTCTGTAGCCTCCCGGTGCTGTAGCGCCTCCTGCAGGTCACTCTGCAGGCGGTCGCGGGAGCGGGCCAGGTCGGAGGCCCGGCGCTCGCTGTGCCTGTGGGCTCGCTGGGAGCTCTGCAGCTCCAGCTGGGTGGAGAACAGAGAGTTCTGCAGGTTGAGGAGCTCGGCTTGAAGTGGTGGGAGCTGGGCAGGACCCAGCTCTTCCTGGGACACCTGTGAAAGGGGACCGGTTGTTTTTTTTTTCCCACCGCCTGAGATCTGACAGAGACCACGTCTCTGACAAAAACAGCCTGCATGAGACGTACCCATCGAGGCATTCTCACCTGCACCTGCTGAAGCTGGTTGCGATGGGCCATGTCTCTAAGTTTACAGAGAGTGTCGTTCTGCCCTTCAATGACTCGATACAGTTCCTCTGCCTGGAATACAAAAGCATTTGAATGAATCAAGGAACCAGAAATCCACCCTTAGAATGTGACACACCTTCTATAAAATGACACCTTTCTATATCCTAGGCGTATCTTTCCTGCTAAATCCCTGCGCTGTTCCATTTCGATCCGTTTTTGCGGCTGATCCTTCTGCATCCTTCTCACCTCAGTGTCCTTGGAAGTCACGGTCTCACTCAGCCCCTGGATGGTGCGCTCCTGTTTCTGGGCTGCCTGCTTGATGGCCCGGAGCTCAGATTCCATCTCGCGCAACTTCTCCTGCAGCTTCTGCGGGGGAAAACAAAACGAAGCCCCTCAGCACAAAAGACCCTACCCACCAACGGAGACTCGGCCCTATTATACCTTTGTTATTTGTAATCCAAGAGCACCCCGTATTGAATAAAAAATGAAGTTAACGTGCTTGTAGGAAACCTTTAAACAAACTGCTCTGTCGAGCACAAGTTCTTTGTTTTTGCTTCCTATATAACTGAGTATAACAGCAACAGAAAATTAATTTGATCAAATTCAGAATTTATAAGACACATTTGAGTTGTGGTTCTGATAGTTGAAGTTACAAGCTTTTTTTTCTTCCCTTGAAGGTACAGAAATGATTAAAAACAAATGGCTGCCATCTTACCAGTAGCTATAAACAGGACCTACAAAAGGGAGGGCCAACAGTGCCATATAGCCCGAGTCTCACCCCAGCCAAGGGTGCGTAGTCCCCCACATGAACCCTTTGGATGTGTTTCTTGACTTGAGTGGAATGTGTAACATTTACCATATACTGTGATTTTCGACTAAAGTCCACAGCTGTGAAAAAACGTGCCCCTTTTCAGTACTTGTTCTGCCCTCCTTTAGGAGTTTCAAAATGCCCACCTTAACCGTCCCATCATGCCATTCTTTACATTAAAATATTTTTAACCCCACTTCCCAAACAATGAGGGGGACCTCACAATGTGAAATGGCCCAGCCTCATCTGAGCTCTCGGAGGGCCTGGCTTTAAACTGTTTTTGTTCTTTTATTTCAGTGTCATAGTTGGAGGTGACCACTGTGGACATTATGAAATGGGGTGTACCTTGTTTGTGGCTTCAGTATCATGGATCTTGATCTGCAGGGACTGCACCTGAAGCTGTGCTTTCTGCAGCTCAGTGACACACTGCCCGGCTGCACACTCATACTGGTTCAACTGGCTCTGCTGCTCCTCAATCAGGTTCTGAAAGAGAGACAACTGACACAAATTAACAAGGGCCTTCGAATTCATTTGACTAAGAATTAAGTTACGATTTAATGGTAAGCAAGAGTTAAAGATTGATGTGACTCATTTTCACAGTCAAGCAATCTGTTTTATTCCACTGGATTTCACCGGATATAAATTGGATGTAAACTGAAATTTAGGTACGTTCTGTAATTACTAAGTCACATTGATAGTATAGGAAATTCCAGAACTATACAAGCGGTAATGTCAGGCAATTGTTATACCTACCAACACTAAAAGAATGTAAAATGCAATGCTAATAGAAAACAGATTCTAACAACTCCTGTCCTCTTATCTCTTTCTCCGATGCCTCATCGTCAATATCTCACAGAGTCTGGGAGACAAGGAGAGATTGTGTTCTGTCTGTTCGAAAGTGATAGACTATCAGACTGTATTAACTACCTCAAACCCCAACATGCTCACCACATGGATAATTATTCTAACACACTGTGTGAAAGAAGATTCCAGGTTAAAAAAAAAATGCCTGAATGAATGTCCATCGATACTATAATATATGCTGTTATAAACCCTACAAATTAAATTGATTTTGAAAGACATTACGATCAACTACTCAGTTTAACTGAGCACTGGAATGCCAGTGAAAACTGAAAGTGCATTTGTCCACTGTATAGCTTCCTCAGGAAGCTTATTCTACGTAGGAATGCGTATTTCATTTCCTCATATTATTTATAATCTCTGTTCTCCAGACTCATTTGTTGTACTACTCATCTATGCACAAAATGTCGAAGGCCAGAAAAACAAACACTACCAGTCTTTTCATGAAACTTCCTAACATAAACTAAGACTGAAGCAACTTCTCATTACCAAACTCTATTTTAATTTAATTTCCATAATATGAGAGTGCAAAATCCATACCATCTAAACTGAATAGTAAATTGCATTTAACAAGAACTACCAAAATTTCATATCAAACAAAAGACATAATAGAGACTAAAAAAACAGGACTGTTCTTACACTGAAGCTACATTCTCATCGTATTACCCTACTTTAGAGGGCATGAGATATCCCAACCACTAAGGGAAGGATATCAGAGATAAAACTGAATTTGCTCAAAGGAAACATATGTCCATGAGATTAAATTTTAGAATCTTATGGAAATCCATGTAAAGAACTAAGGATCACAAATTCATAAATCACTCAGCTTTGAGGAGGGCTTGTACGTTTTTTTTAAATAAATACATCTGCATCAGCACGACAAAATTGTTGTTGCAGAGGTGGATAAACCAGTTTTGGGTTCAGTTTTCAGTTCACTCTACAGTTCCATGGGTTTCACCTCTATGATGAGAGACACACCTGTGTCATCTTTCACTTAACGAACTGACTTCCAACAAAAATTCAAAATATAACCCTTCAAACACCGATTTTATTAAAAACCTGAAATGTTTACTGCTCTACGTTAATGTAAATCTAAGGAACTTTTTTAAATTTAGATTGTGCCCATGTGTAGGCAGCTTTAAATAAATTGTACTTTGCTCGTGAACTTTGCTTTCTCTTCAGTTTTTGTAAAGTACTGTGGTACAGCATATGTACCATGGTACGTAGTACAGTAAAAAATGTGATATTTTTCTACCTCTAAATCTGTGAATCCCAGTAGACGATTATCTGACTGATCAATTTTTTACCTCAATGTTTTTAATCTGATTACAGTCACATGTGTGAATAACTTGCACTGCATTAACTGCTATTACAATGACCTCAGAACACAGTCTAGGAGACAAGATAACTGAACAGAACAAAATTCTGCTGGATGTCTTTTTTATAAGATATTAACTATAAGAGTAAAATCTGGGTGATAGCAAAAGTTTTATAGGGAATCCAACACTATCACAGATGCTCAGGGATTTTTTTGTGAAAATACATTTAGGGGAATGTTATCTTTTGAAAACAGCACTCAATCAACTGTACTGTATGTGTATAGTACAGTGGGTATCAGTAAGAGACAGCTGCATCACAGCAATTAATGCTTGTAATAAAACAGAAAAGCATATGTGAAGAAACTGACTGTCCTTGGCTCTAGAAGGAGAGGATGTGGCTGTAACTATTGTGCTGCATCACGTCACTGAGGTAACTGTTGTCATGCCAATGCTGAAATTACCAGAATGATCACAAGAGGCTGGCACATGTCCAGAGAAGGCAATCAAGGAGCAGATTATCAAGAGCACTGTGGTCTAAAATTTCTGAAAGTACATAAGATTACCCAGGACAGATCACACAACGATTTGCTGGCCATTCAAATACTCACGAAATATGATGCATATTCATAAAAGTACTGCATTGACATTCGCTACATGTCTGAGCTTCAGCAGTGCAGAAGCAGAGGGAAGACACTGTCTGCATTTAGAGAGATCAAAGAACTCCCTCCAGAAGCACCGCTTCAAATAATGTTATGTAACCAAATTTTATACATAAATGTGGTCATAAGATTCAATTTTATACTAATGCCGACAGATAATACTAAGGGAGGTTAATGTCTAAATGATTGTCAGGGTTTTACTATTGTCCTGGTATCATTTCTTGTTTAAAGATCACTCCTTCCCCTTCTACAGCTATCTCACCTACATTAGAATTCATAAACCATCTGGAATGCGTCGCCCAACAAGATGCTTTGACATGGGCTAAAAAAAACCTTAGAAAAATCACAAACCCCACTTCACGTTGCCTGATCAGACATAATACTCCAAGGAAAGTCACAGTGAAAATTCTTTATCCAGCTGCACTATTTTTTAGCACACTGACAGCAGAGTGAAGGATGTGAAGATGTCACTGAATGGCAGTACTGGGACGTCTACCTGAAAGCTAAAGGGCATGTACTCCTCATAGACATCCTGCCAGAGCTCCTCTAGTTCGGACAGCTCCAAGTGCATGTCCTGCTGAATTCTGGGAGGCACCATCTCTTGAAATTTGGCGGGAAATTCGGAGCCAGTGCCGTAAGGTGTCCTGAGTGTCAAGTCGGCAAAGGCCATTTTGCTGTTAGGTCCTGGGGGAACAGATTTAACCAGGACTGGCAGTTTGCTTCCCCGTGGGCTCTGGATGGGCCTGTACTCAACGTTTTTCACCAGGCTGAGAGCCAAGTCCAGCCTGTTGGCCTGCGCGGCCATATTTAGCTGCTGCGGGGCCTCTTCCGGCCAGGAATCAAACTTCTGGTCCTCTCTCATCTCTCTCTCTGCCTCTTCGTCCTTGGCGGCGGGCTGCCCCATCTCAACAGCCGTGTCCAGGGACTCCACCGACGAGCCGGGACTCATTCTCTCCGAAACGTCCGCGTCTTCCCCGCTCGTCTCGCCCACCGACTCGGGCACGGTGGCGACGGCCGCCGGCTCCTCTCCGCACACGCTGCTCACGACGCTGGCCGAGTACCGCGTGGAAGGCCCGCAGGAGATGCTCCGGGCCAGCTTCCTGGGCACCTTGCAGACGGCTTCGTAGTCCGAGTCGGCGACGCGCAGAGCCGCGCAACCGCGGCACCTCCTCGAGCGGTGGACGGAGATCTCGGAGGCGTGGCAGTGGTGGTGAGGGTCCGCCGTTTGCTCCTCGAGCTCGGCCCAGGATTCATAGCCCGAATAGGCGAAGTCCTCCTGGAGCAGAGCGCTGTACCGGAGGTCAGGCAAGCCGGAGATGTCCACCGTGCCGTCTCCGGCCTTGCCCTCCGGGCCCGCCTCGTCGCCGTTGGTCCTGCGGTACAGGCTCCCGATGCACTGCCTAAGCCGCTCCTTCTCCTGCAGCAGCCGCTGCAGCCGCTCGATGGACAGCGCCTCGATCCGCGCGATCACCGTGTCGAAGCGGTACACGCGGTCCAGCATGAAGGCGCACTTGCTGCAGGCGAACTCGCGCTTGCCGTCCCGGGTCAGCTCCCGGCCCAGCACGTGGGACAGCAGCACCTGCAGGTTGAGCTTGGAGGCCGTGTGGAAGATCCAGCGGCGCTGGTTGCCGCAGAGCTCCCGGGCGCAGATCCGGCAAGCGTCCTTCATCCTGGAATCCAGCATGGGCGCCCCCTAGCGGCAGGGAGGTCTCAGCCAAAGTAGGTCTCTTGAGCAGCACAAATCTGATTTGTGAAAGTTTGCCACCGGAGGCAACCAAGTGTGGTTTCAGAGCCAGCAATGTGCAATTAAACAGTGTAATATACAGTCCAATTTTAAAAGTTATTTTCCTGACAATATAAATTAAGTGGACTTTTAGCCTGAAAATACTCAAGCTTATCAAACTTATTTGAGCAATTCAGTGTTTAGTCGTTCATGTGCAAAAGATTCCTCCCAGTGAAGCTGCGAATTGTAATTGTTCGATGGAAAACAGAGATAAATGGCCATTTACGACTTGAAGCGAGATTTTAAACAGGCTGAATTAAATGAGATCAACAGCTGCTTTTCATACTGATAACCGCAATCAGTAATCAAAGACCCCTTCCTGCAAAGGCTCAATATCATCAGTGTACCGCTGGAATCGAGGCCAACATCCCGGCAGAGCATCTCCACGCAAATACGCACAAAATACTTTAAAGCTACCTTGGGTACCAAGACAGAAAAGGCTCAAAATCGCGTTGCTTGCACTAAAATAACACTATTACATAGGAATGCCGCTTCGTGTTTTTAATCTTAATATTGGAAGAGACAAATAACTAAAAGGTGAAATTCAAAACAGACCCCCTTCTGTTGTTACGCTGCCAGTCCATTTTTAATTTTGTAATGGAAATCCTGATGCAATAGCGTGAAGGATTAAAGGAACATCCAATTGCGCGTTTAAGACAGCGTTTTCCGGGAAAACAAAACCATTATTTGTCACATCTTAGGAACGGATTTCCCGAACACGCGATGCCTGCGCATCTGCCCGATGAAGCTCAGCCTAATCAAAGGGCTCGCAGTATCATCACCGCCGCTGCCGTGTAATCCGACTTCAGTAACACTCCCGAGATCCACGGTCCCCGGAGGAAGGTGAAAGTGATTTGAGGAATCCGAGCCTTATCTACAAATTACGGACGTCCCGTTGTATTTGCGCTTCATTATTTACACGCACTTCGCCCGGATAACGAGGCTGCAGCCCGAAATAGGTCCATTGAAAAGCTCGCAATGATGTGGCAAGACTGTAACCAGCTAGCGCTGCTATGGCGGGACTCACCATTTGAAAAGAAAAATAGGGGTATCTGTTCTAGCAATCATTCCCCAGAGCCACAGGAATGAACGTGTTTGAAAAAGACTCAAGAGACCCTCTAAAGATATAATATCACAAAATATTTTTTTTCACTCGATTTGTTAATAAGTGTATAAAATGAAATCTGCTCCCCATTCTACAACACTGCCCCTCCTGCGAAACGTTGGTACAGCCCGAGTGCAAGTAATTTGCATGGAGCCCTGTGCGAGCAGTGATCTGGCGTTCACGCCGGCAGAGGTGAAACGCTGAATTCTCCGGTTTAAAGGTGAAGGTCGCGTTAAACTGGCTCCCTCTGTTCGCTCAAAACATGCTTTATGCAGCCCTTCGGAAATTTGTGCTTAAAACGTGGAAAGCGTTAATGACTTCTTTTAGTAGAATACCCCCGAGTAAATACTGTTGAATAAACGTCGTTTCAGTTAAGAATCTTGAGAAGAAAACTTAAAATTACGCCAGTGTACCGAGACATTTTATATACAAGTGGATGTGGGTTTCAAAATCATCCAGTGTATCAGCAGGGGGGTGTTAAGCCAGGAGTCCTGTCTGAACTCCACTCTGGGCTTGTACAATATAGCCTCCTTCAAGCAAAGGCCGATTGCAATTTCTCACAGAATAGCTGTGTTCTCTTTCGTCTTTTTTTCAGCATGGAATAAACCTATTACTTGTTCCTTTGCAGCCTACGCATGCTGACGCAGCTACCCACCTGAAAAGACCCATATACTTTATGCGCAAGTAAATTAATAATTAACTGAAAAACTAGGAAAACTAGTTACTAGTTATTGTTATTTAAGAGAGAATTACTGGACGTCACTATGAATCACTGTACTCCACCCACTTGTCTCTTGCAGAAGGCCTTTTGCTAGTAAAAATAAAACGTTCTTACATTTATTAAAAATAGCAGGTCAGACCCTAAACGAACACAAAATGCAGGTCTCCAACGTCAGAGTACTCTTTTCATCTGGGAGTGTGGTGTTGAGAAAACCAAGCCTACAAATCACATACACGATGACTTGAAATATCAGCTTCAAATATGACTCAAATCTAACTGAGAGAATGAAAGAGTATAAAGCTCTACCAATTGTATTCAAATGACTTCATCTTGTATAGGAACACTGGAAAACTTTGAAGGACTTTGAAAAGATGTGTGTCATACTTTGATGCATTTCTATTGTTTTAGTAGGCTTTTAAAGCGGACCGCGTCACCAAACTACCTTTCTCTAAAGTACCTTTTTTTCTCTAAAATTCTTTAAAGTCTGCATTGTCCTTTAAGAATCATACCCTAGCAGTAATATAGGCATGCCTTCTGAGCTTGCCAGTAAGAATAATTATAGCCAGAGGGACAAGATGAACTGCACTATGCCCTGCAGATCTCACCTGCAAAGCACTGCCCACTGTGACCGACAATTTTGTGCGGTATGACTTTTGCACTCTTTTGTTTTTCCTTGGAAAAGATTCGTACTTTGCCGGAACAACACCACACGCAAATGTGCTTTCAGTTGTTGCTCTGTTGCTTGGGGAGGAGGGGGACAAATACTTTCACAGCTCTGGTAAACTACTGCTTTAAAAGAGGAAACACAGCTTTGATGACCAGTATCTTTGTCAGTCTGCGTGAGCCCTTGAGGTGCATTAATACTTAACAGTGGTCACAAAGTCTACAGTGGTTACATTCTTGTTACAAAGGTTAGCCATTCCATTTTTGTTTTCGTTTCCACCATCCAAGAGCATCTGTAGTGCTATTAGGGCTTTTCCCCCAATAGCTCAACTATGTCTTGTGTTTTTGAAAGACAGGGGAAATCATTCACCTATAGTGCACAGATAGCCAGCAGGGCAAGAACACAGGGAGGGAATCGATTTAAACAACCTTTCCCTCTTGCCGGGCCTAGTCAGCTGTGTCCATAGGCTTCCTCCCTCCCAACAGTGAGAGAAGTGACAGCCTGGCTGTGAAAGGCCACATGTTGTGTGCAGAGCTGTGAGCAAACTCCTAAACAATGGGCTGACTTGGCACACACACAGACGCATGGGACCCACAGCAGGGACAGTCTGGACACTTGTGTCTCAGCGGGGGGGTGGCTGATGGCTGTAAATGAATAACAATAGCCAGAATCTCGGCATTAATAATAATAATAATAATAATAATAATAATAATAATAATAATTATAATTGCTTACACTTATATAGTGCTTTTCTGGACACTCCCCTCAAAGCGCTTTACAGGTAATGGGGACTCCCCTCCACCACCACCACCACATTAGCCATTCCTCTTTGTCCAACAAACCTGGAATGAAGTTCCACTGTATCTAAACTTTGAATTACAGTGCAACGCAGACTAAAATAACTACCCCCCCAACAACGTTGGTAAAAATGACTAAGTAAATGACAAATATCTTTAAAATGCCATGACTATGAAAGGTGATGAAGACAAAGAGAGATTTCCATTTTTAAAAAACCAATAAAAATGAAATAATTAGGACAGAATTACCCCCCCAAAGGATTTGACTGCAGAAAAATGACCCTGATGTGCATATATAAACACATGTACCACCCGCTATACGTAATGTATGTCTGTTCATAAATAAAACAGGTTTCATTTTTTCACCAGTTAATCTTAAACCTGGATGTAAATATTAATCTCTCATTACAATAAATTCCATTTTTCATAATGAAAAAGTGATTATTTACATTAATACAGCTTGTTGGGACGTCACTGTTCTTACACAGTTTAGAATAAATTATAACATCTCTGCATGTTTACTCTTAAACTGGAACAGCCACAAGAGAGACGTATGAGCTTTCAACAGCCTTCAACAATAACGAGAACTGCAATTAAAAATCTATTTATTCTAATCAGTGGGAGTTACTAAACCTTACAGTGCAATTAAGGCACTTGATCGTGTTCCTTCAAAAGTGACAGCAACGACACAATGTAACACTGTAAGAAGCCTGGAGACAAAATGGCTAACTGAATGTGATATTAAACTGACTAATCTTCTTTAGTATCTTACCTTCTCAATTTCCAAGTTTAAGCCAGTTAGGTCAAATTTACGCGTCAGTTCCCAAATAAGAATTAATGTATTTTTTTTAAATACCTATAAAGTCAAACTGGTATCACTAAATTCCTATTTAATCAAGTTCCAAGGTTTTCATCACAATAAATATTGTTGAATTTCCTCTGTCTAATGTCACACCCTCTGACCTTGTGAGATTATTTTCTCCTTTTTTGCAGACACTTTTCGGCAATGATAGTCTAAATCAGCAAAGAGACACTTTCAATTACAGCTGGGAAGCATATCTGAGAGGGTGTGGGCATATCGTTAGCTTGTCATCTGTGTCTACAGGGAGTCTTTGTATAATTGGACCCATTTTAGGTTATAAATAAAATGCATTCACAAAAAAAGCATTTAAAATGCATTTATACACATCATTAGAAAACGATAAGGAACCCAAACACTAATCATCATCATCAGTGACAGGGAAAAGGGCTGGGAGAGATATCATTAAAACTAAGGACTTGGATTGAGACATCAGAGGATTTAGAAAGTGCAAAAACCTACACTGATGGATAACGGCGAATGCATTCCAAACAAGAAATAAATATAATAGTTTCGAAGAGTCTTGTTTTTATTTCAGTGCCGTTTTGTGATAACAAATTGATGGATTTTTGTTTTACAAGTCAAAAATATTCCCTTTCCAAGAAATGGCTCAAATTATACTTTAATCATTGTCTCTCTACCTCCTATTGCTTTTGCAGTTGTAGTTGCTTACTTGGTATTTGAAACATTTACTGTAAAAGAGCTGGCTAATTATGAGAACTATGCTTCCTGATTAGGACATCTGTATTTCTCTTGAAACAGATTTACATGTAATAGCCTGAGGGGTGTCAGGGAAACTGGGTGTGTCTCAGAGAAGTACTTTACAGTATATTCTAACAGAACTGCTAGTAGAAAACACTACAGTTTATTTCAAGGCAAATATACTAAAAGGGTGCATGATGTGCCTCAATTATTGGAATACATTTAATCTTTAGGAGTAGGGTCTGATATGATTATTCAAATTCCTAGTTTTCTTATTTAAAAAGATATTTTCGGTAAGTAGCTCTATTAGCCAATAGATATAATATTAACATTCTTCCCTTCAGTTTATGTCCAAGTTTGGGTAAATGCTGATGCTATAGCGAAAGCAATGCTAAGATCTTAAGATTTCTAAAGAAAAGCTCTGGCTGTCTGTGTAGTTAAGCAGTGCAGTGTACCACACTGCGGGTTCTTTGCTTGTTTTTGGTTCTAGGACAAGGTTCTGTGGACCTGTTCCACTTCCTGAGATTTGGTAACTTCTAGAATCTCAACTCCATGTAACTGTAAAAACAACTGTCGAATGAACACGATGATTTCACTTCCTTCCTCACCTTCGGGCTGTTCCATTACTCTCCCACTCAAAATAAACATTTTGATTAGTTTTCCAAATTCTGAGCTTCTCCACTGCCCATCTTCAGTTCCTGTTATATTCTCTCCTTCCAGTACATTTTTTAAGTCGGTCATCCGATTCTAACATTCTGTCTTGTCTTATGCCATAGGCACTCTTTTGTGAAGTGCTTCAGCTGTTTTACTTTAGATTTCCACCATGGTTTTGAGGCAGTCTTTAATTTCTCCACAGCTCCTGAGGAAATGAGTCATTTTGATGATCCACATCATCAGTGTTATTAAAATCACTTACATGTCATCCGATTATTATTTTCATTTACTTCCACAATGCTTTCACTGTTTTTTTCCCAGTAGTGGCTTTTGTTACTTAGATGTACTAGACAAACTATTATTTAAATCAGGATGTTGCATTTAAAAATGATATATACATATAATATATATGTATAGTTATTGTACTGTACAAATCAACTTGTAATGAAAAACGGCTTATGCTATTTACAGCTGCAATCTCTTTGTTGATGTTTTTAACTAAGATTCTAAAACCCTTTTTACCTTTCAGTAGAACAGTGTTATCTGGGAGCTGGTAGGTGGTGTGATTCTTTAATCGCGGTCAATGATTTTGAAGGTCTGCTATCTGCTGTAGTTTTGCATATACAAGTTCATGGTTTTTACAGGCCTTTTTATCTCTGGGTACAAAATGTATTTCATGTTAGACTTTGCTTTCAAAGTAAGGTATTTAAATGTTTAATTCCAATTTCAAAATGCATAAAAAAAGCTAAAACTGGTTTAATTGATACAGCTAGGTAGTCTTAAAAGAGAAAAAAAACTGATGTTCAGACACACAAGACAATATATAAAATGTGAAAGTGAGACTATAAAGGGCATATTTAACAGTGACCAAGGCTTCTGAGACCAACCAGCTCTGCAAATGTGAATCAAAGCCCTTTTGTTTCCGAAGTACTGTCCTGTAAATCTCAATAAATCCTGCTGTTTTTTTCGGGCGCTCCAGGAGAGGGCGCTCTGTCTCCACTGCCATATTTCTGTGTGGTGTGCAAGTGCTGGCCACCGGTCTCCCCTGACCCACATACCTGCATCTCCTGCTGAATCCGCAGTTTCTCCCGGCCAAGCTCGTCCTGGAAAAACTGCAGTCAGATGAAAGAAGAGATTCATCAGAGGGAAAACAATCTGCAAGGCTGCTTGCGGTGCGTTCAACAGTGGCTTGAACTGTGTGCTCCAAGCTGAACAGCCCTGCTTGCCTTCATGACCTTAAACACCACTCTTGAAAACATCTCTGCTAAACTTTGACTCAGGTTCAAGTTTATTGTCATTATACTCATATACAGGTATATGGTATAACTAAATGCTATTTAGCTAGCTCTCTGACGATCCGTAGTACAAAAAAAACAACAATACAATTGTATAATAAAAGAAAGACAGAGACAACAGGCAGTGTGCAAAAACAACAACAGGCAATGTGCAAAACAACAAAAAGGTAACAGGTAATGTGCAAAAACAACATCAGATGTGCAAAAACATGCATCAACAGAATGAAATAAAAGGAAAGAAATTATGGGGAGTGAGTTTTTTGTAAGGTAGAGGAAGATTTCAATGTGTGAGTTTTGGTAAGAAAGAAGGCACTGTGAGGTTCAGACCATAGGTGAGAGGTGAGGTGAGAGTGATTACTCTTAAGAATAATAAAAACAGCAGAGACTTGAATACATGCAAAATAAAAGATGTCACTTCTGTATGATTTTTAGACAATTGTCAAGCACTGTTCGGGTTCTTTGCAGATCTCCAGCTAAAGCATTGATTTCACTCCACACGCTTTAATTTCACAATATTACACAGACATACAAGAGATCAGCTGGACAGAAAATGCTGAAAACTGCTTCACAGAAAAAAATGTTTTATTAACAAGATGAAAGTCACTTGTAGCCCACACATCCATTGTAAAGCTGCTTTTAAAAATAAACCCAGGAAAGCACAAATACATGTCATACTGTATGACTGAAACTGTATTCTGTGTGCAGAGTAATTATAGGCTGCTTCCAAAGGCACCTTAAAGACAGAAATACTTATACAGCTATTATTCTTATTAGCCTAGGCTTTCTGAGACACTGTGTTGAGATTTTGTTTTTGTTTTAAAAATATTTAAAAATAAAAAAAATAAAACAGTTGTTCATAGACACTTAGAAGCTGTTGCTCAACACAGAATTACAGCTGTACCATATTATTTGCAGTATTTAACACTTGGATGAATCAGGCACTTCACGACAAAGAAGACATAAATAAACGTATTTTCAAATCAGAAAATAACCGCTCAGCTGTGAAAAGGTAGAGGTGCTTAAATGTGACAAATAAACACCTTTGTAAGCGTTTCAGACACCCTAGGGATCTGTAAATCTTAGCCACTCAAGTGCTAGCATTTGCAGGACAAGTGTTTAGCCAGGAATGTCAGCTAGCCTGTACATGTGCCACATGTGTTCCACAATCACGTAAAGACACACATACGAACGCATCTCAGAAAGGAGTGCTTATAATTCACACAGGAATCTAATACTTTGCTACTAAAATGGAATGTGGGTTAGGCCCTCAAAGACAAGGCATTCATCCCTTCTGTATGTAATATTCCTCAAGTTTGTTAATAGCCTTTTCAGCATCCTGTTCTGCTCCGAGTTTCAATTGTTAGCATGCTTCAGAGAGCACATATGAAAGAAGCGAACCAGTAAATGCTAGTGCTTTCAGAAGTAACTATATATAACGTTGCATAAAAATGTCCCAAAGCAAATTTTCCGCAACCTTTCGAGTTTCACAGAACTTCAGACCGCACGGAATGCAGAACAAAAAACTCTTGATTCCATTTAGGAATTTTGTGTTTGTGAATTATGAGGCTTGCGGCGGGTCTGGAATCTTATTATTGGTTTGATTCTCTGACTTGTTGGAAAAACATGACCGAGTCTGGAATGACTGATTTAGGAAAGGACACACCTGACAAATGACATACAAGTAAAGGGCAGCCCTGAGACCATTCCTAGATTGTACAACTAGGGATGCGTGTGGGATCCAGCCACAAATGAGCAAAGTCCACAGAAAAAGACCATTCCTACCTCAGCATCTCTCTCCTTCTGCTGCAGGGAGGAAGTCAGATCATGGACCTGGTCCTCCAGAGCTTCCACTTTCTCGCTCAGAAGAGTCTTCTCATCAGACAGCTCAGTGATGGCAGCCACTTTGCAGCGAAGTTCTTGAGTCAGTTCATCAATAATTCTACAGATCAGTCATGAAGGAAAAACACAGTACAATAAGACAGAGGTCCAGATGCACATAAACAGTAGTGTCTGCCATATTAAAACGAAAACATTCAAAAGGTGAGGCTCACCAAAATTTGAAAACATTTTTTTTTCCATGATCATAGATTCTATAACAAATCAATACTAAAAATAACCATAAAGAAAGTACACTATTAAAGCCCAGAAGTCACTGGAAATGCAATTTAGAGCTGACTGGCTACTCTGAAGATCTTGTGCCCTCATTCAGATACTATCTGGCACAATCATTCTGAGAGGATTACGTTTTCAGGTGCACAGCGTGAAGTTCATTTAGTTGACGCCAGAGCTTTGTTATTTATATCCGCGTCCGTGGAAATGAAGGTCCCGACAGCAGGTGACGAATATGCAGGGGGTTCAGATTACCGAGGGGATCGCGCACTGTTGGAGCCACGGACTCTCAGGAGGCTGGTCGAGTGCCCGGTGGCTGTCAGGGGCACCTACCTGTCTTTCTCAGCCAGGGCTTGCTGATGGCGGAGGCTGGTGAGGCTGGCACTGCCCTCGGAGCTCTCCTTCAGTCTCTTCTCCAAGGTGAAGCAGCGCAGGGTTTCAGCCTCCGCATGAGATGCCATTTTCTCAGCCTCATTCCGGGCTAGCTTGGCTTCCTACAACACAAGAAGAGAAGGATAAGATCAGATAAATAGGAGGCCATTTGGCCCATCTAGTTAGTAACTAATTGATCCAGGATCTCATAGTGTTGGTTTGTGAAAGGCCAGGCTTCAACAGCTTGGCTGGATAACTTATTTCATACTACCCAAACCATAAATAAGCTGTTCTCAGTTTTAAATTCCAAGTAGTTTACCTTTAAGGAACTGTGGATTCAATTTTAACAGGGGCAGACAATATTTCTACCCCTTTATAGACCTCCAGTAAAGAGCTACAGGCAAAAGTAATTATTCTAGCTTCTTGGCTGTTTCATGCAACAATTCTACTACATAAAATATCCTTACATCTGCTATTAATATTTTATAGATGTACAATATCCCTTCAGCTTCAGTACAAACTTTAAACACTATAGTTTAAAGTTAAGACTTACTGCTTCTTCTATTTCTCTTAATTCTGATACATATATATGGTTACTTTAAAACATGCATTATGACGTTATGTTTTAGCTATTCATCTGAAGAAACTCCAAACTTCTGAAACTCTTTAATGCTTTTGTCTGTCTTTCTTGTGTGTTGCAAGTTAACACAAGTTTAACAATTAAAAGGGTTAAATTTCCTTTGCGGCATGGAGAAGAAAAGAAATATTGGCCAAAACACAGGGTGTTTTTTGTTATGTTTCGGTAATGCAAAGTCACACCTCCAGTGGCAAAAACCAGAATGTACTGTATTTCTCTTTAAAGAGAAAAGGCCATTCTTGATGAATCTGTTGAACTGGTGATGGGAAAACAGAGAGAAACATTCAGATGAGTGGGAAAATGCCATTCTCTGAGTGCTGTGTTCATTGTGGCTAAGTATCAGGAGACACACTCAAAATGCCACTGTGTAATACCTCCTGCAAAAGCTGAATTTTGGTCTCCAGTATCTCCTGCATGTGATCGATCTCCTGCTGTCTCTCCTCACATCGTCGTTGCAGCTCTGCCTCATTCTGATTGGTCAGACTCTCAGCTGTTGTCCTACCGGAGAAGAACAGGAGCATGACTACATGAGAATCTAAACGAAACGTTCGATTAATCAAGTGAATTCCGATTCAATACTGGTTATGGCAACTATTTAATTTTAGTTTGGAAACAACATTTAGAATTTTCCTGTTCTGTTTTAAACAAAACCTCTTCTCTTTACTCAAAAACAGTGAAAAGGATTAAATTCTTTATTTTGGGAGTCTGCAAAACGTTTGTTTTCTAAAATACAACACATTATATTTTGTACGTTTAGGAGTGTATTATCTGTAATTCTGACACATAATTCTGAGATGTTTCATAGACAATAGATCTGTTCCAAAGGGAAGACAAAACTTCCCCCGTGAATATAACAGAGCATCGCTTGGTTTTGTTCCAATTAAAAATAGATCCAAATGGGTGACAGAACAGATTATTTATGCAAAACAAATATGTGCAGCTAACAGCATAAAGCATTACTAGATTAATAACATCCATTCATCTTTATTTAGCTCTACAAGCCAAATTGCTCATGGTAGCTCCTAAAATTGGATTAATACTTGCTTGATAATTAGTTAGACAAATGTTAAAAATCCTGAAGTTGATTATTTTATTCTTGCAGCCCAAAATCGTTCTCCTGGACAATGACAAGCAACAATTTGTTTCTATGCTACAGACACCAACAGGGGTTTGGCCTGCTTTACCTAATTTTGTCTTCACACAGTATGAACTTCCTAAATAAACTGTGTTCCTAAATCTGGACAAGAAAATGACTTGGCTGCAATATTGAAGAAAAAGACAAAAATATAGAACGGAAATTGGAAAATCTAAATACTTTAAAGAAAACGTTACTATAAAATTGGACCACACTGCCAAACACAGCGGGTCACTGGACTCACGTTATTGCAATTTTGAGGCTCTGTACCACAAGCATGAATTGGATCAGAAGATCCAACATAAATTGTTATGTTTTAATAAAACTGAATGCAAAGTAAGTATAAAAAAGAGACAATCCTGTGTTTTTCCTTCATTTCATTACAGAACATTTAGCAGCTAAGTCTATTATTAATAATTTTTTATCATGAGCCTCAGGCTTGCAGTACAAAATACACTTTTCTTGTTGATCCGGAACTAACTGGCCAGTAAACAGCTTAACATCACAATAAAGCATCTAGACTTGAAGCCAACCAGTTTTTGGGGATACGATCACCTGTCACCTCATACCATAGCTATTTATAACAATATCTTTTAGCCATCGGATCCATTAACTGAATCCTATGGCTGCCTTACAAACACAAGAGGAGCTGTTCCGATGAGCTGAATCACTGAAATCATTTCCTCTTTATCACTTTCTTGGCTGCCCTAATGGGAATTGTGAGATGTGGTTCTGGAATAATTACTGAGGAGGGACAGACAAAATTAGTTTGGAAAACTGTGTGATATTTCCTGCTCATTAATGTTCTCCTCACAGCACTGGCCAATAATTCTCCAAAATGCCTTAGGAGACAGTAAAACTACCTCCTATCCCCCTAGCACATTTCAGCAAGTCTACAAATTCGTGATCATTTTGAAAGCTGAGGAAAAATTACAGGCTTAAATGATCTGATTTAGTTTGAACCAAACAGCATTCATGCGAAACTCGACTTTCACCACTTCAACTACTATCATTTTGAAGAGCCTTGGCAAAGAAATGTGTCTCTCCTTTAATATAAACCCTAATTCAAGCCCAATGGCATTCTTTAATACATGACATCTCCTGAGGAGACCACTGATCATATATGAAATCTAGGACACATAAACGTCAGCACTACAGAAAGGTCATCTTACTGCAGAAGCCAGTCTTGCAACATATAGCTCAGAGCTTAAGTGGACATAAAAAACTGTGTCAAGCTTGCTAACCCAGGGCTTTGTAAATATAAATCAGTCACAGGGCTCTAGACTCACTTACCATCAACATTAACAGCATCTACACATGATTGAATTTTTTGCATGCAATGACCAACTGTCTCATTATACTGACTTGCTTTTACCACAAACATCCGCATTCAGAGATGCAGAATAATGAAGAAACATCCTGTAGACTCAAATCTAAAATTGAATGCTTATAATTATGTATTTTTATTTCTTTAAAATTCTACTCATTATCTTCTTCAAAGGATGACGAATTATTTGGATGAATTCACTTTTTTTGTCCTTTTTAGTTAAGACGCTGGTTTCTGAAGCAGATTGATTCTAGGGAACGTAACTCTCTTTCCAGATACTATAAAATTTACCACAATTCCTGGCAACACATATGAATTGCATTTCCCATTTGAATTAATCACACCATGTTATTTAATCATGGCCTCCTAATAATCCCCATCTTTGAATTGGCTTCATTACTCTGTTCTCCTTCCCACTGATAGCTGATGTGTGGTGAGCGTTCTGGCACACTATGGCTGCCGTCGCATCATCCAGGTGG